CAACCAAGGTACATGCCCTTGACCGGAATCGAACCTGGGACCCTTGAGTCCGCAGGCCAATGCTCTATCCACTGAGCCACACCGGTCAGGGCCTCCCCATGTTACTCTCGCCTGTCGCCGGCTGGAGTAATTCTAGGTGATGTTTCCCTTTTTGAATCTTTGCCATTTTCCTAAACACTGTTACAGCGAAAGGAAAATCTATACTAATAAAAGCGTAATGTGCGAATTAGACCGGACAGCCGGACGACCTTCCGGGCGTCCTTCCGGACGGCCTCCCAGACGAAGCTGGGGCTGCGAGGGCCGGGCCCCCTTGCACGAATTTCGTGCACCGGGCCTCTAGTATAAAATAATGCTGCAAACATTTTCCCCATGACACCCACGTTTCTTTTTTTCTGTTCTCAAATTTTGTTTTTTTCACCTCTGACCTGAAAGCTAGGAGTGTCTTTGGGTTTTCAATCATGTGTGTGTGTTTTTTCCCCCTCACCAGGAGATCATGAAAGACTTCTTAGAGAAGCGGGATAAGGGACAGCTTCTCATACAGAGGAACAGAAGACTAAAGAGTCATCTTCTGCGGCCGGTAATTTTACATTCAAACGCTCTCTCCCATCAACCGCGAGTCTGTGCTAAACCAGCGAGAATTCCAGAAACGAGTTATCGTTTGGGAAATACCAGTTGTTCTCTTCCGATCTGAACACCACAATGTTTCAATGTCCCTAGGATTTCAGACACACGAGGGAAGTTTGCTGTTATGTTAACCTGCGTTAAGTCCAGCCTGTGTGGCTCAGTGGTTGAGCATCCACCCCTGAACCAGGAGGTCATGGTTCGATTCCCGCTCAGGGCACATGCCTGGCTTGCGGGCTCCATCCCCAGTGTGGGGCGTGCAGGAGGCACCGATCCATGATTCTCTCTCATCACGAATATACTTAAAATATAAGTATGAGCCAAACCGGTTAGGGCACATCATGGATGTTTCCATCTCTCTCTCCCTCTCTAAAAAAAAAAAAAAAGTATTTAAAAAAATTCATGTTGCCCTGGCCAGTGTGGCTCAGTGTCTAGAGCATTGGCCTGCGGACTGAAGGGTCCCGGGTTCGATTCTGACTGAGGGCACAGGCCCGCAGGCTCCATCCCCAGTGCGGGGCGTGCAGGAGGCTGCCGCTCCATGATTCTCTCTCCTCATAGATGTCTCTCTCTCTCTCTCCCTCTCTCCTCCTCTCTGAAAGCAATAGCAATATATTTTTTAAAGAAATAAATAGGGCCCTAACCGGTATGGCTCAGTGGATAGAACGTGGGCCTGCGGACTGGAGGGTCCCGGGTTCGATTCCGGTCAAGGGCACATGCCTGGGCTGCGGGCTCCATCCCCAGTGGCGGGTGTGCAGGAGGCAGCCGATCGATGTTTCTCTCTCATCGATGTTTCTCACTCTCTATCCCTCTCCCTTCCTCTCTGTAAAAAATCAATAAAATATATTTTTAAAAAGAGAAATAAATAGAAACACGCTGATTCCAACCTCAGATGCAGCTCTCGGTGACGGAGGACGGCTACGTGCATTTCGGGGACAGCGTGATGCTGGTGAACCCGGACCACCCCGAGGTCCAGGCCGACCAGTTTCTCACCGGAGACCTCAGCCTGTGCCTGACTCCGGACGAGATCAGAGCCCACATGAGCGACCAGTTCGAGCTGCCCTGCGGCCTGAGCGCCTCGCCCACCAGGACCCCTGTTGGCAGGAACACCTTCACCGTGTTGAGGTGAGGACGCCACGCGTGACATCATACGTGTCTGCTTCCCTTGCAGCTCAAGGCCGTCCCGGGGTTGGAGCTGGCGGGCTGCCTGGAGGCGGCCGTCCCGCGGACATTCTTGCTTTTTTTTTTTTTTTTTTTTAGCTTCTTGAGATAGAAGCCTTGATCATTGGTCTTAAATCTTTATTTTTAAATATAAAATAAATGTACACCTCCCGCTGGGGATGTGCCTGCAACCAAGGTACATGCCCTTGACTGGAATCGAACCTGGGACCCCTCAGTCTTCAGGCCGATGCTCTATCCACTGAGCCACACCAGTTAGGGCCGTTCTTGCTTTGTTCCCTGGAGAGTGACTGTCAAGGGGCCTTTGCTGCTCCTTGGACCTTAACCATCAGGGTCACTTGTCACTCGTGTTCCATTCAAAAGGCTCCATTCAAAAGCATTGGATCCAGAGGATGAAATTCATATTCAGTTTAGAAGCAAAGTGGGCCTTCCTATCCACTCCTTAGTGCTTGGAGCAAATCTGAGGGCTTTCCATGTTTTTAATGTTGCCATGTTTTTAATGTTATTGTTCACATCAGACATATGTCATTTCATGCAAGGTGGCGTACCATGGGGGTTTGCTATTTTAAAATTCATTGTCTGCTATATCACGGTTCGATTCCCGGTTCAGGGCACATGCCCGGGTTGCAGGCTCGATCCCCAGCGTGGGGCGTGCAGGAGGCGGCCGATCCATGATTCTCTCTCACCATTGATGTTTCTCTCTCTCCCTCCCTCCCTCCCTTCCTCTCTGAAAATTTTTTTTAAAAAATAATTCACTGTCCACTATAAATGTACGTGAGGATATTTTTTAAATGAGCATTTGAACTCCTAGAGAAAAGACACATAATGACAGTTAAAAATAGTGCTTCAGCCCGGCCGGTGTGGCTCAGTGGCTGAGCGTTGACCTATGAACGAGGAGGTCAGGGTTCGATTCCCGCTCAGGGCACACGCCCGGGTTGCCGGCTTGATCCCCATTGTGGGGCGTGCAGGGGGCAGCCGATCCATGATTCTCTCTCATCATGGATGTTTCTCTCTCTCTCTCTCCCCCTCTCCTCTCCTCTCTGAAATCAATAAAAATATATCTTAAAAAACTATTCCTTTACTTTGTTGCTAAATTTTGATAGGCACGTTTATATTACAGGAATATAGACTCCAAATCTTGAATTTAGATTTATTTTTGAATACAGGTAATGTATTTATTTTAAGTTGCCTTTGTGTGTATTTATTTACTTATTTATTTTTAATCCTCACCCGAGGATATTTTTCCATTAGCTTTTTTTTTTTTTTTTGAGAGAGAGTGGAAGAGAGAGGGAGAGACAGAGAGAAACATCGATGCGAAAGAAACACATTGATGGGTTGCCTCCTGCACGCGCCCTGACCGGGGCCCAGGGCTGGAGAGGAGCCTGTAGCCGAGGTCCGTGCCCTTGACTAGAATCGAACCTGGGACCCTCCGGTCTGCAGGCTGACGCGCTATCCACTGAGCCACACCGGCCAGGTCTGAATCCAGGTCATTGGCATGAACCTCGAAGTTTCCTGGAGGATTCAGAGGGAAAATAGTATGAAGTGCTATCAATGTGTGGCCTTGGTTTTCTCTAAAGACCTCGCCGTGCCCTGGCCAGTGTTGCTCAGTGGATAGAGCGTCGGCCTGCAGACTGAAGGGTTCCGGGTTCGATTCCCGTCAAGGGCATGTACCTTGATTGCGGGCACATCCCCAGTAGGAGGCGTGCAGGAGGCAGCCGATCGATGCTTCTCTCTCATCGATGGTTCTAACTCTCTCTCCCTCTCCCTTCCTCTCTGTAAAAATATATCAATAATATATTTTGTAATATATCAATATGTCAATTGTAATATATCAATAAAATATATTAAAAATAAATAAAAAAAGTAAATCTCAACTTCCAGTTAAAAAAAAATAAAATAAAAAAGACCTCGCCCTAACCAGTTTGGCTCAGTGGATAGAGCATCGGCCTGCGGACTGAAGGGTTCCGGGTTCGATTCCGGTCAAGGGCATGTACCTTGGTTGCGGGCACATCCCCAGTGGGAGGTGTGCAGGAGGCAGCTGATGGATGTTTCTCTCTCATCGATGTTTCTAACTCTCTATCGCTCTCCCTTCCTCTCTGTAAAAAATCAATAAAATATATATTTTTTTAAAAAAGACCTCGCTGCATCTGACCCAGCTCCTTCGCGTAGGAAGGCCTGCGTGCTTGGTGCACTCCGGGCTGGCCACGCGGGGGCGCTGTGTGTTGGGGCCCAGAAGGTGGGGGCTGGGGAGGGGGAGGGCAGGGTGCCCGCTGGACGGGCCGCTTGTGCCTAGTGACATAGCTCAGGGGGGACGTGAATAGACGTGATCAGGAAGATTGTAGGCGCAATCGCACACGCAAAATGAGGAGCTCGGAATGGTTCCCCCTCGGAAACGTTTCAATGGTGCGTTCTCTTCCCCGACAGGGCGGACAGAGAGGCCATCGGCCAGGTCCTGCGATTCGGGCAGAGCTTCCGCCTGGGGATCACCCTGGGATGCGAAGACCAGATGGTGAGTCGCCCTGTGGCGTGTGGACGTGGGGCCGGCCCTTCTGGGCCCCGGGCGGGCTCGTGGTTCCCTCCCAGCTGGACAGGGAGCTCTGCGGGCCGGGGCTGCTTCTCCGCAGCTTTTTAAAAATATATATATATTTTATTGATTTTTTACAGAGAGGAAGGGAGAGGGATAGAGAGTTAGGAACACCGATGAGAGAGTAACATCGATCAGCTGCCTCCTGCACACCCCCCACTGGGGATGTGTCCGCAACCCAGGCACATGCCCCTGACCGGAATCGAACCTGAGACCCTTCAGTCCGCAGGCCGACGCTCTATCCACTGAGCCACACCAGCCAGGACGAAAACCTTACCTCCCATGCAGCTGGCCAAAGTAAAAATGTAGACCGCCTTTACCTGTAAGTTAAATGATTGAGTTACCTAAGAATCATTTAATGTCCCCCATGCTAGATCTGACATTAAACGTGCCCCGGGTTCGGGCTCGGTCCAATGTGCAGGAGGCAGCCAATCAATGAATCCTTCTCATCATGGATGTTTCTATCTCTCTCTTCCTCTCCCTTCCTCTCTGAAATCAATAATATATATATATATATATACACACACACACACACACACACACACACACTTATATATATATATATTTTTTAAAGAAAACTAACAACTTGGGGACAGTAACTCCTTTGTGCCTTCCCCCTAGTGCCCAGGGCACAGCTCTGCCTATGAAATCCATCTAAACAGGCAGAAACGACCCCCAGATTCAGGGTGAAGGTGGGTCCGTAAGGCGCTCACAAGGCACCGGCATTTCGGACTCGTTGGCAGGACGGCGTGGTTCCTGGCAGCCATGGGCCGCCAGATGGCCGACCAAATAAATTCCACACGTGAGCATCAACCCCAGAGGGCGTAGGCCTCCGGAGGAATGAATGATGACGCAGTGAGGGTTTTAAGAGCGCTCCACTTCACAGCCAGCCTCAGGCAACATCATCCTATGGAATAAAAGCCTAATACGAAAAGTGGCCGTTCGACCGCTCGACCAGTCGCTATGATGCACACTGACCACCAGGGGGCAGATGCTCTGACTGGTAGGTTAGCTTGCTGCTGGGGTCCGGGCCATTGGGATAGGGCGAGACGGGCCGGACACGCCCCGGAACCCTCCCATGGCCCCTTCCCGGCCCCGATCGTACACCGGTGTGAGGCACCCCACCGGTGCATGAATCCGTGCACCGGGCCTCTAGTGTATAATAAATAAATACCGAGACAGGCCCTGTGCCTTACAAAAGAGGAGGGGCTTGGGGACAGGCATGGGCACAGAGAGAGGTTGAGTCTGGTATTCTAAGAAGGAACAGCAGTTCGAGGTGATACAGAACTCGACGGGGAGGAAAAATGAGTGTCCTCATACAGGCAGTCCTTGAGAGCAGGGATTCCAGCCCGGCTGGTGTGGCTCAGTGGTTAAGCATCATCTCAGGAACCAAGAGGTCACAGTTCAATTCCTAGTCCGGGCACAGGCCCGGGTTGTGGGCTCCATCCCCAGTGTGGGGCGTGCAGGAGGCAGCTGGTCCACGATTCTCTCTCATCATTGATCTCTCTCTCTTTCTCTCTCTCTCCCCCTTCCTCTCTGAAATCAATGAAAGTATTTTTTTTAAAAAAGAACAGGGATTCTGAACACGGCCTTTGAGCAGCCTGGCCATCAGCCTGCCGACGGCTTTGTCTTTCCCAGGCGCTCGCCTCGTGTGACGTGGCCCCTCTGCTTGCTGTCCTTCCAGTTGTACTTGTCCAGCGAGCACAGGACGCTCCTGCGGTCGGCCAAGATGTCCTGGCTCCAGGACGTGTACCTGACCGACGAGGACTCCTACCTGAACTGCTGGCAGGCCACCTGCCCGGACCCCCAGCTGCGCCTGGAGTGGGAGGGCCTCCCGGTCCCGGTGAGCCCTGTGCCCCGTGGGGAGGGGGCATGTGGGAGCCCCTGCTGTTCCGGGGGGCGATTCGCTGCTGTCTGACATGGGGGCTCCTTGTTGCTTATGTTGTTTCTTCTTCTTCTTCTTCTTCTTCTTCTTCTTCTCCTCCTCCTCCTCCTCCTCCTCCTTCTTCTTCTTCCTCCTCCTCCTCCTCCTCCTTCATACCTCAAGCTTGGAGGACACGATTTTTGCCCTGTGGCAGCATCCTGCACTGGTGTTTCTCAATTCTTCTCTCTCCCTCTCTCTTCCTCTCTCTCTCGCTCTTCCTCTCCCTCTCTCTTTCCTCCCCTCTCTCTAAGCATGTTCTCAGGTGAGGATCCAAAAAAAAATAAATAACACCACTGCCCGGCCGGCGTGGCTCAGTGGCTGAGCGTCGACCTAGGAACCAGGAGGTCAGGGTTTGATTCTCAGTCAGGGCACAGGCCCGGGTTGTGAGCTCGATCCCCCGTGTGGGGCGTGCAGGAGGCGGCCGATCCATGATTCTCTCTCATCATTGATGTTTCCATCTCTCTCTCTCTCTCTCTCTCTCTCCCTTCCTCTCTGAAATCAATACAAATATATTTTAAAAAAATAACACCCCTGACCATATTTTAGGTTGTCAGATGGTCTCCAAGATGACTTTGAATGATTGTGTAATGTTTTAGCATCTGTGTCTCTACCTTAATGTCTTTAATCACTCTATCATGATTCGCCTTCTAGGTTATCCCATATATATGTACGTATTTTATTTTTATTTATTTATTTATTAATTAATAAAGGACACTAGTGATTTTAAAATATATATATATTTGTATTGATTTCAGAGAAGCAGGGAGAGGGAGAGAGAGTTGAGTTGGAAACATCCATGATGAGAGAGCATCATGGATCAGCTGCCTCCTGCACGCCCCACACTGGGGATGGAGCCCACAACCCGGGCATGTGCCCTTGGCAGGAATCGAACCCGGGACCCTTCAGTCCGCAGGCCGACGCTCTATCCACTGAGCCACACCGGCCGGGGCTATATGTATAGATTTTAAATAAACATGTAGTGCATTTACACACATTTGCTTGTGGGAACTGGGAGGCCTTAGCTCACACTGCAAATGGCGCCCTTTCTTCATCTTTAAAGGCAAACACCAGAGTCCTCATCAATCACTGCCACACCAACCGGGGGCTGGCGGTCCACCGCTACCTCTTCCTAAGGTACTGGGTGCCGGGCCCAGCCACACGGGGCTGTGGGCGGGGCTGTGGGCAGGGGCACAGCCAAACGCGGCAGTGGGCGGGGCTGTGGGC